GCAAAGCTTGTTGAAGTTTCCTAGCTCTCGATCTTGTAATCGGTCCATGAGGCATAACAAAGGTAGCTCCTTGGTTCATATCATCCTCCCCATCTTCAGAAGGATTCGTCCTCGAATCTATAGGATCTCCTTGCAATGCAACCTTGTACTCAGCATCTTGAGCTCGTTCAAACAGGTTGATAAGATAATAAATTTGTATGATAAACTTGTAATTGCTTGWAGTRAAGAAAAACCTTGCAGTCTTTTTCCAAATTKCTGGTTTAAATCCCCAATACACTGGACCAYGAGTCCATGGTATTTGATTTTTCAAGGGCAAYGAAGCAATGAGTGAATGTTGCTTCTGAGTATTGCCGAGGTCTGCATTTTGCAGTTGCGTGCTTTTCTTACTCTCCCCAAGTTGCACAATATTTGTAATCTCGAGTGCTTTCTCAATAAGTACCTCCTCTATGGTTGTGTACTCATCAGGCGTCAAAACCTCAACATGCACATCTTCTTCAGCATCATAAATAACAACATCAATRTTAAAATCTTCTTGTCGGGCATGCATAACAGTCTCAACATTCGTATCGTCAACGGCATCTTGATTCTCTACCTCATTTGGAATGTGTTGATGATTTTCCTCTTGAGGCATAGGACAATCGTTCTCTTTTTTAACCGATTTTGTAGCATGCCTCCTCATGTCTTCGTATAGCATTTTGAACTCTTGGCACAATTCATTGAGGTCATTTATGTTTTTGCGAATCCCGACCAATTCCTTCGTATATGGATCGTCGCCATGGTGGTTATCATATTGTCTTCGACTATGGTGGAACTTCGATTTCTGTGAACGTTCAGTGTGAAACATGGCTGCAAAACAAAGTTAAAGTAACAAAGAAAAATTGACCTCACAAGCACTCCCTTACTATTCCACWCGTTAATGAAGTTCACTCGTGTTTAACACTCAACACTCAACACTCAAAATAATGTATCACWCCCTTTCAATCTCTCCCTCACGACTTAGTTCACTCTTACACACATCAAATAAATTGGTAAGTGAGTAGCAAAGTCAAAGAGCAATGTGCATTTCAAGYGGTTTAGATAGCACATAAGAACTCATACAAGAGCGTGATTTTAGGAGTAACCCGAATAACAACAAAGAAACAAGTGAATAAAAAAAAGAATAATGGACACAATTATAATGGGAGCTAGAAAGAAATGAAAGCAAAGTTAAACATATAGATGGTTTGGAATTAAACAACAATGAAGTGGCAAAATTAAGAATGAGAATTCAATGCAAGACTAGTAAATGAATAGAAAGTGTAACCATAWTATTAAATAGCTAATGGCTAGTTTTAAAAACCAAAGTAGGGATTAAACATGCTGAAGTAAAATCGAACATGAAGGTGTAAATAACAAAATAAGAACAAAAGAAATCATAATCTCGATTTTTTTTTTAATTTTTTCTTGACAGATTTACGAAATTGAATGATTTCACCTTGAAAAAAACTGATTTAGAAGATATCAAAGAAGACAGAGTTTTAGACAAGAACGAGATCTAGAAAAACGTAGGAGACTAAAAGATCAAAAGATGTACGCAAATATGATTTTTTTTTCTTTTTTTTTGTGACTGATGGAATGGAAAGAACATAACAAAACAAAAAAAATTCAAAGATAGATTGTACAGAAACGCAAAGGAACATATATCCGATCCTGAGCCTAAAGCTCTGATACCAAAATGTTAAGAAACCCTTGAGAGTTGGATCTAAGAACCTTGCTAACGAACAAGACCCATAGAACTCAATCCCAAAAACCCCGAAAACAAGTATGGAATCAACCCAAGGAAAAGTTTAAGAACGGATTACCTTGATGATCAATATCAAGAGTAGAGAAAACTCGTTTCTAAACTCGTGATTCGAATCACTCCACAAGAGGTATG